CTTGTTTCTGAAAAAGAAACCTAGTCTAACCCTCAGCTTTTTAAGCAGATTATTGACCTGAAGTTTAAAAGTGAGATAATCATCAAGCCAGATACCAAGGTATTTATAACAGGCAACCACTTCAAGTACTATTCCTTGCGCAGTTANAAAATTGCTCAGTTTCAATTTTAGCTGTAGACTGTTCCAAGCAAGTGGAGCTGCGCACATAAAAGCTGTCTTACCTAAGACAGTCCTTGCTCTTGGCACATCTAACAAGACTACATCATGCGATCTCAGACAATAGCTGCTTGCAACTCTCTGTGTTATCAGAGAGCAGATATAATACGGGAGTTTACCCAACATGGCTTTATAAATAAACGTGTACCAATGACTGAGCCTCTTTACAGTAAGTGATGGCAAACCTGCCTTGGCATACAGGGTACAGTGATGTGTAAGTGCTTTACAATTAGTGACCAATCTCAGTGCACTGTGATAGGGAGCATCTAACTTGTTCAGGCAATAGGCAGGTGCATTCATATACAACAAATCATCTTATCAATGATAGGTAAACGTATCTCTCCTCTTCATGTAAAACAAATATCAACATGTCCAGATATATCTTTATTATGAATGTAATTACATGTGTCTTATTGCCTCTCCTTGTTTCAGTGACCTGGAGCCCCTCCCCACTGAGAGACACCCCTCCCAGAAGGAGCCGGAGCAGCGCCTAAGGGAGCCAGGGGCCAGCGACAGCACGGCCCCCCGCAGCACCGAGGGCTCCTTCTCCGAGGACGTCTTCACCGAGTCAGAGCTGTCCCCCATCCGTGAGGAGGAGCAGGCGTCTAACGAGGACCTCCGCCTGGACAAGTCCTCAGGCGCCTCCACCGAGTCCGTGCAAACCCTCACCCAGGTGGGGGCCGCCACTGCCGGGTCCCAGTCCCCAGGCAGCGCCCGCGGCTCCGTCAGTCTGCCGGAGACCCCCACAGAGGACAATCCACCAGACACTGCCCCAAAAAGCAAGTCCCCCATTGGATCCAAGCAGCACAGTGTAGAGAAGCCACCAAGCACAGCCCCCACCACCAGCAGCAGCACTAGCCAGGCCCCCGGCCCCAGCAGCAGCAGCAGCACTAGCCAGGCCCCCAGCAGCAGCAGCAGCAGCAGCACTAGCCAGGCCCCCGGCCCCAGCAGCAGCACCTCTCTCACAGGGTCCCAAAGCTCAACCACCCCCGGTGCCACAGACACCGCCTCTGGCTCAGCCAGTCCACAGAGGGAAGCCAACAAGGGGACAGACGTCTCCAAAACAGACACTAAGCAAGGCAAGGAGGAGAAGGTAGAAGGAGAGGAGACACAAAATGAAGCCACGCAGAACTCTGCAGAGGGTAAACACATTTACTGAGTGAAGAAATAGTTACAGGTGATGAATATGACTTCAGGTTTAGCTCCATCCATATCTTCTGAGGACTATCAAAGCGAATTCCTCTCCTCACTTTTTTCATGTTGGTTTCCCGATAACCTTTCCGTTTCCACTCGCCTTGCTGAGAGTAATTGGAATGTAAAGACGAAGGCAAGCAGCAGCCCTCTCCGTGTTATCAGCCTGGTGGAGCTAGTCCGGCTTTATGGGGCTTTATGCAGCACTTTGATCTCGGGCTCTGGTGGTCTGGGCCTCTCCTTTGGGCGATAAGCTAAAGCCTATCAAACACCATAATGCAACAAACACACACAGTGGCGATGAAACCCGACATCAAAACAGGTTCTGAGGCGGCGTACAGAAAGGTGTTATTTATGTGTGACATCCTTTTCCGGAGTGCTTTCATGTGGATTTAGACAAATACAAAATTTCTCAAAACCTGGAATAAACGTATTTTGTGTTCACTGCCATGTTGAAGATTAGAGGATCACACCAGGGGCTTTGGATTGTTGGACCTGCCAACAAAGGTCTTCAGTATAGCTAAATGATGAGTTTAGATCTAATGTATCTCTGTTCAATACAGGACAAGACATCTTCCAGTAACATCGTTTCTAGAAAACGTTTTCAAATAACATAGATGATTTGCAAAAAAATTCTTCCGAATAAGAAAGCCCCAATGGTTTCATCAAGCAAACAGCATTCTGGGCCGATACTAATGTTTAAAATAACAATAACATGCTAAACTTACCAATTTCTCATCATCGCACTATAGTCTTCCAGCTTTGATTTCCTGAAAACATAAGCTGTAAATTACGTATTGTTGAAATGCACCAGCAAGTAACATTTCTATTTGCACCAGTGATAATATAAGTATAGAATCATTTTCAAAGTAAGATGAAGTGCAGTTGACTGAAATAAATCGAATGCCTGGAAATTGGGTAGTTACAAAAAAATAAGCAAAAGAGAAAATGGCTGTAATGCAATTAAAGAGAATTGGCTAATACGTCCAAAACCAAGGCAGCATCTCTTATTAGCATCTGTGTGGCACAGTTCTGGTCTTGTTATCTGACAGTGGCCTCAGTATGTCACACTCACAGACTCCCTTGTGTCTATACAACCCTCTCTTTGGGCACGCAGTTTTGATTCAAAAGAGATTTCTCTCCCCAAGAAGAAACAGAGCGAGGCAGCGGGAGAGAAATTTGCTTTTGTTCTCCCTGGCAATTATTGTCACACAGAGAGTCAGGCGGCTAAAGCATTTCTAATTGACGGGGATCTGAGCAGGGCTGCACATTAGCACAGCCCACACAAGTAACTGCAGCAAACTCGAAAAACAAGCTGCATTAATACAGCATTAATGCTTTTTGGAAATTGAATTTGTCTCAATAAGTTTGCTGCCAAAGCTGATTCATATTATTCTGTCTAGCATTGTTGCTAGTTCTCTAAACCAGGGATAACAATATGTGCCAGTGTAATTTCACTGGTGCAGTGATGTCATCCAGCTTCCCGGGGCTGTGGCCTTATCGTCGACCTCTGATAATGTATCACAGGCGGAAGCGCCGCCATCAATTTCAGTGTGCCAATCCATTTATTTATGTCATCTGTTGTGTTTCTGCCACTAAATGACTAATGCTACTTGAAGTAGCCAGTATTAGAAGATAGAGATGAGGTCACATAAATAAAGCAAGTATTAGGGGATGAATACACAGTTAATAAAGAAGATTTTTTTATGACAGACTTTTGAAACAGGATAAAACGCTCAGGGTTTTCCGGATTAACAGCTAGCCTAGCTCTGTCCAAGGTTAGCAGAATCTGCCAACCAAAACCTGTAAGGCTCACTAGATGGTTTTAGTTGTTACTTTTAAGGTTAGGTTCATCAGTACAAAAACGTAAATGTCAAAGCAAGAGCTAGACTTTGAACATGTTTCCAGTCTGAATGCTAAGCTAAGCTAACCATTTGCGACTAAGTGACATTGATCTTGTCATTTAACTCTCAGCAGTAAAGTTAAAAAGCATTTTCCCAAAAATGTCAATATTTGTTCTTATAATAATTTATCCTGCTTGTTACAAAAATAAATTACCTGTATGTGACCTTTAGTGTTTGTGTCCACTTCCAGGCACAGGGTCTGCAGAGAGAAGGAAGCACCCCACTCACAAGTTCCTGTGTCTGCGGGTGGGGAAGCCCATGAAGAAGACGTTTGTTTCCAACGCCAGCGCCTCCATGCAGCAGTACGCCCAGCAGGGCAAGAAGCACGAGTACTGGTTCGCTGTGCCGCAGGAGAGGTGGGTCCCTTGGCATCACTTTTGAATACAATGAAATGATTCCTCTAGTAGCCTTTATAGCAGGGCTTTAGTTAATCAGTGTATAAGGGTATTTTCCCACTTTCCTGTAGTCAAACTTGATGGCTTTTGGTGCTCAAAGCAACAAAATAAATCTTTGAAAAACTCAACAGCAATGTCTCTTCCCAGAAATCATGACCCGGTTATTTACAACAACAAACCTTGTTTGAGCTGTTTCATGTGAACTATTTATTTTTCGAGCAAATAGATTTTGGGGTGAACTGTGTCTTTGAAACTATAAAACCAGTGCTTTAACTGATGACATGGAACAATATTTTAAATGAAAAAAATACAAAGCAGAGTATTTGATATAGTAGCCTCTGATTATTCAGCTTTCAGTGCAGCAGACTGATTTTAATCGAAGAGAGCTGCAGGGATTTGACCTGACTCAGTCCTACCATATTCATAACCCACTACAAAAGTCAGCTGAGTCCCTGAAGCCCCTCTTTTCCAGTTCTTTAAATATTTGAAACCAATCAAATATGCATACTTTGTCTGGTCTGACTCCCAATACAGCTCCTGCCCATCTCCCTGGGTTGCTTTGCCAGACAAAATTATTTATTATTCATTCACTCTGCAGGGAAACACACATGCTCTTTATTCCTGCACTGGGCCACAACCCAAAACAATAAGCACGTTTCCAACGCTATGTTTTGTATCCTCAAAAAAGTTGTTATGCGTTTGTGACCTACGCTGAAATGTTTCATGTTTTATCCACTGGAAATATGGCTTGTTTATAGGGTTTTCAAAGTTGGAACGCTCCGGTTAGATGTACGGTTGCCAAGCCAGCATAACTCCTAACTACATTGGAACTCTTCACACTGGCAGGAGATACATTACATGAAAAATGCGCAATGTGTTTAAATGGAGAATGAATCCCAATTGCAGTAATAACTTGATTTAATAATAGGCTAGAAGCCATTCTGACTGCAGCACAATGGTCTATGTAATCTTATGAGAAAAGGAAACAAAGGCTCTAAAAATAAATAATGAAAATCAGGTGAATTCTGATAAGTTAAAGGGTCCTATTCTGCTCATTCTCAGGTTCATATTAGTATTTAGTGTCTCTACTGTGACATGTCTCCATGCTTTAATGTTCAAAAAGCTCTTTATTGTTCTTATACTGCCTGTGCTGCAGCACCTCTTTTCACCTTTTCTGTCTGAAACCAGAGCCCCGTCTGCTCTGATTGGTAGGCTGGCCGACTCTGTTGTGATTGGTCAACCATTCAGAGATCTCCTGCCCCGACACAATCACGTACAATGTGTTGGAGAGCTGGCCAATAGAGGTGTGAATGTTACAAAGTGATGTCATTATGTTACGAAAGTGAACAAAGGACTACAACTTGGCCAGTTCCGGCACGGGGGGGGGGGGCGGGGGGTTGGAAGAAACGTTGGGATTTCAGCCTTTGCAGACAATATTCATGCTAACAAACCTATATAACACACTATGGAAAAGGGGAAACCACAACAAGCTAAATAAGACATCTCTAATGTCCATTATTGGGTTTCAGTTTCAGAGCCCCTCATGTTCACACACATGCTGCTCTGTTAGGCTGCTAATCACATTGGAATCAAACACACAGGTTCAGTTAGTCATGGTGCTATAAATGCTCCTTGGATGTGCGGTGTGTTGAGCGTCTGCGTGCAGTATTGACACTGAAATCCCCCCTCACTTCATTATGAACTTCAAAAGTCTTGCTCCTTACAGCTTTGCTGTTCTCCACAGGTTGCTTAGCTACGAAATTTCCCACCTGGCAAAACAAGTTTTCTGTGATGCTGCGCTACGGGAGGATAGCTCAGGGGCATTGCAGATTCAAAGCTAGTATTAAAAAGACATGTTACTACTCATTATTCTTTACTTGTGTTTCTTGGCAAGTTAAGGTGTGTGGAAGGAGTGATCATAAGCTGTTTGGACTGACAACACAGCGGCTCTTAGTTATTTTCTTCAGACACTGCGAGACGCTCTGTAGCTTGACCTAGATGGGAGGCGACCCGCATGATGTGTCTTGTAAAGCGAGGCTATTAAACGCACTGAATACAGCTCAACCTACTGAGTCTGTTCAGCTCTTTCATGTCTACCAGCCATAGCCATATGTGACACAAACTGTTCTTTATTTAAGTTGTTTATGAGATGCGCTGTAGCATCTTATTATAAACTAAACTGTTTGCAGAGCCCCAGGAGATAATAGAGAAAGCTGCTCTAATGGATATTTACATTTTAACAATGTATCAAATAAGTAATGTGACAGGTGTCGCTTGAAGAGACTTGTAAAAACATGTTACCTGGCCTTTGGTTTCCATCAACTCAACGGTATACTTTAGATCCTTAAACCTCATTTATTTTGGTTTAAGTCCCACAACTTTAAAAAAAGAATTGTTTGAGTCTCATCAAGCTTGTTTACCCAAGCATATATTTTGCGATTTCTAAATGCAACAGGCCCAACAGCAGACAGACAAAGTTAGTACCTTGCTACTGAACATAGTGGAGCATTTAGCAGCTAAAGAGACAAATATTTCTTAAGGAATTGGTGGGGACCAAAACAGAGCTAAAAGAGTTCATATTGATTCTCCTTTTGTCCAGAAATAAGATTCCGAACAAATGCTAAAGTTGCTCTGTCTTTGTTCGATTTGTAAATATGCAAGTGTTAGCTAACCTGTTTGATTAAACAACTTTAAATAATGTGATAATATGTCAATGTTGTCTTTACAGCTTGTTGTGCTGCCCACAAGGGACAGCATGATATGATAACTATACGATAACTATGTGCTATTATTAGGGCTGTCAAACGATCACAATTTTTAATCATGATTAATCACCATTCAAACTATGTCCAAAATATGCCATTTCTTTATGTATATTGTTGTGGGAATGGAAAGATAAATGAAAGAAGGCGGATATATCCATTTAACATACAGTATGAATGTTATTGTTTATTATAACATTGTTCTGTGTTTCAAAATGAAAGACAGCCCACACACCTATCAATCATCAAACCGTGGGGTCTTATTTCATTACGTGTTGATTTCTATCAACACGTAATGTTGTATCGAAGTATAGAGATGTACTACAGCAAAAGTATTCTCAGTCAGGACTTCCTGCAACAACACCACGCCGTTATCGTGATTCTAATTGGCCAGAAGACATTATCAAAGATGTTCTATTGAGAAGACGATCACTACGTGACAAAAAAATTCAAAACCGTTTCTAGTCTTCGGTATTTCCAGACAAGTGGCTACTGAAATCAATCTTACTAACTGCTGTCTGTGCAATTTACTCGGCGCGAGTTGGCGGACTTTATTTTGCTTACTTTAACATCATTTTTCATGGTGGGGCTAAGGTGGGGCTAAGCCATTTCTTGGTATGGCTGTAGCCTACCCCAGCGCTGCCATTGGTGGGATGTATGGGGCGGGCCATTCTGCACATGCGTTAAATGCGTTAAATATTTTAACGCAATTAATTCAAAAAATTAATTACCGCCGTTAACGCGATAATTTTGACAGCATTAGTTATTATAAAACCATTTGTTCCCAAATGTACCCACACCTCAGAACAAAGTGATGGCTTATTTTTCTTGCAATACTTAATAACAGAGGAGAACAGAGTCACACAGGCCAAGCAGTTTTAACAGTTCAGCAGAATTAGCAATGAGGTGACGAGAAAGCATTTCAAAATCTACTGATAGACACCGAACAAAATCACAGCTGTTTGAGAAATCTTCACCATACGACAAATTGAGTAAACTGTTTTGGGTGTTGTATTAGTTGTTTACATATTAATTTGTTGCGGATCATTATGGAGTGTATAAATGTTTTTTTATCAAGTGCAAGTTTGGTTTTATTTGACCAAATAACATAATTCAGGAATCAAGCCTTTTCTCTAAATGTTTTCTCTGTTTATTCCCCCAGGTCAGAACACCTGTATGTGTTCTTCATGCAGTGGAGCCCGGATATGTATGGTGAGGGGGTCAGGGGAATGGGACAGGAGCCTGGGTTTAGGGTTGTCAAGAAGAATGAAGTGACAGAAACAGATGTGGACGAGCCCATCACCGACCTCAATGTCAAGGAGTGGGAGGTAAGGTATACGCAGCTCAAACTGTGCCCTTACCTTGTTAAATCAAACGTGTTGTCTTAAGCCTCACAGACATGGATTGAATATAGTTCTCCACTATGATTTATCCCATAACTGTGAGAGCAGAAATTCATGTGTTGTATTGTTAATTGTTGTATTTTAAGTTACATGTCGTATAACTGTGTTGATTTGCTTTTATTATGCAATCCATAGTGAAAACGGGCTAATTTTCATTTTTAATCCATCATAACTGTGTAGTTGTAAACCTTAGTTTTGTAATCTGCTTCTGTGTATTGCACTTTTATATACCACTGCATATTTCTTGATTTGATGGCAACTTTGTAAGTCCATGTAAGTTGTGTGAGCACTTGCTTTGCTTGGAAATGTGCTTCTCTGAACTTCCAACCAAAGTGTTTTGCATGTTTGTGTAATTGTTTATTCTTCTCAGTTAGTGTTTTGTAGTTTTCATTATATGTTGTGTGACTGTCACTAGTGTTGGTGTACATTCAGAAACATTTTTTGCAGAATTGCAAAAGGCTAACACCATTACAGTTTATTATCTTTGAAATCACCTCAACTCACTTGGTAGTGATGTGGGCTAAGTCTGTCCTACTTTCTTGGTAAACTTACTTCTCAAGGTGCCTTCTTGATTGCACATGAACATAATGGTGAAGTAAGACTTGGAAGCATAGACAACAGATGTTCCTATAGATGTACAGCACTGTTATTGGAAGCAGTTGCACCACACTGTGAATAGGTTGTGGTCAGATTATTAACAGCCCTGTGGATAATGAAAATAAGTCAATCAATGTAGGAAGAAATTGATACCATGGAAGCAGTGGCAGGGATTTAAACTTTAATGTAAATTCATGATGTAGGAAACAAAGTGGGCTGATTTGTTTGTCATTTTCCAATGCATTTAAATAAGTAAATAGGAACCTGTTTCTCTTGTTCGTCCTGTTGAAATCATGGTTGAAATACATTAATTCAAAGCAACACTGTTTTTGCTTGTTGCTTTAAGGACCAATAGGTGAGTTTATTTAAATAAATGGTATTGTTTCGGGAAAAAACGGATACATTTGTCTTTAGGCTTGTTAAGTTGTGTATTAAGTATTACTTGATTTAATTTGAACTTCTTTACGTAACTTTTGGATACTGTCCTGAAGAAATCATACCTCGCGCGCTAGTGGTGCTACTGTTTCTTTAAATGGTCGGTTATGGGACGACGGGGGTCATCGTTTTTATCAACCAATGGGGAGCCGATTTCCCTGCTGTCCCGTGTTATTACTGGTTTACAGCGATGTCACACAATCCATGTGGAGATGCCCCCGTTGGGAAAAAATGTTGCTATTTCAGTCAAGCAAGCTGCCAGGTTTCATACCAACTCAGTCTTCTTGTCTCGGGGCTTTACTGGGAGAACTTAAAGGATTTGTAATGTGACTTTCCAGCTTCAACCTCGCTCCGAAAGCAAGATATGTTTTCTAGGAGGGTGAAAGACCAAGAGAAGCGGCTGAGCCCTAAGTATACTTGTGTATGTTCCTTATGTTTAGGTCATGTTTTCGGTCCTTGGTGATGTATTTGGTATGATGATGTTGTTGTTGTTGTTAGCAAGCCGTGCTAGCTCGCTAGCGAAGCTAACTAGCCCGCTAGCCCTCTATACAGCAGTATGCTGTAGGTTAGTGATTGATTTTGAACAATGTGGCCACTATCCGACCACTATTTGGTAGTCAGGAAAGTGCTCTAATCTGTTGTTTGTCCTCTTGCCACCTTGTGATACGATGTGTGGGGCTCTGTAAGCTGTCTGAAAGTTTCCAGTGCGGAGTGCCAGTTAAAAGAGGCAACCCCTTCTTTCATTCACCAGTGTCTTTGACCTCACATTACCATGCATGTTTTACCAGGTATCATGTTTACTTTATAGCTACAACGTGTTAGTTGGAATGTTAACATGTGCTGTGTTGCAGTATAATCTTTGCTGTCACTTCAACATGCTGACCTTATTTATGAGCTTCATCTCTTAAGATAAATGGCATTTGATTCACATTGCAAAGTGTAGCATGCTGCTAGCTAACCCTTTTCCAGGGCACAAATGCACTAAAGTGCCTTCAGCTGTAGGTGAAATGAGGCACACATGTATTTTTTATTAGGGCTGTAGTTTACCCCATCTACTACATTATTGAGTGCTGTAAAGAGGCAACTTGTTACCAAAACAGTTATTTACACCAAAGGCCACAAGGTAAGCGAAAGATAATCTTAGTTGTAAAAAGTAATTAAAGGCCTGACAGTTAAAACATATTTGGAGAGATTATTTTGAGTCTGTCTGTACATATATGGTATTTGTGTGTTTGTTTGTTTGTTTATCTTGTGCACAAGGCTAACAAGTAACATGTAACAAGTAACATGTAATGTAACAGGGCTTAAAATATCTTCCTGTACGAGACACAGTGGACTAGTAAACGCTAACGTTAATTCAGTGGCAGAACAGAGGCAGCAGCTCTCTGCGGAGCTGGCAGCGTGGGGTGTAACTGTTGGAATGTTTCCATGCTCACAGGTCATTGTGTTGCTCTGTCTGGGTTGTTGTTTTCTGGATTGTTGTTCCTGACAAACGGAGAGTGGGTTATTGTTCATGCCATGGACTTGGCAAGCATTGTTGCATCAGTCAAACCTCGTTTATATTTTTGTTGTTTTTTTCTATATTCCAGCATGAACATTTTGTGGATTTTGAACTTTGCACTCCAAATACTTTTTGGATTGTTTAAGCATTTTGGTTCAGAAGAAAGAGTTTTATTAATATTGCGTTTTGCTGGAGTTTTTTTTGTTATTTTGTTTAAGTTGACTTTTAGGATGACTGAGTGGTGGTGTCATTCAATTACACAAACATGCAAAATGACAGAGAGCTCTCTATCTTTAACTAAAAAGTGGACTTGCCAACAGCGGCCTTAACGGTATACTTTACCCTAAAAATGACCAGTTGTATACCAATTACTCACCCCATGTAACCTTGAATTCTTTAAGAGAAATCCATGGTGAACAAAGAATGAAAATACAGAGAGAATTCTTGATCAATGTAGATAAATACGGGGCATTTGCTCCAAAACTTAATCAAAATCTCCTTTTATAAACTCGTCCGTACCTCGTGCAGCATCGTCCAAGTCTCATTTAACCAAAAATGATGTTACAAGAGTTTGTAAATGGATGTTTTTATATAGTTTTGCTGCTGTAAAAATGCGCTCCAAAGTTCATCACGGAGGATATAGAATAAAGTGTAACTGGAGGTATGTAATTTATATAAAAAATGTTATTTTGTGGGTGAGGTATTCCTTTAAGCCTTGGATACAGCTCTTAACATTTCTGAAATCTACTTTAATATAAAGACTAGTGTTATGTTTTAACTACTTAAAAGGACACTTAGTACAGAAACCTTCTCTTCACTCGCCGGCAAAAGATCTGGTAGAGTTTTATTTTCCACTTGTCCCTGTTTTTGTACTACCAGGTAGTGTCTCTGACGGAGTACCACCGTCGGATCGATGCTCTAAACAGTGACGATCTGCGCTCGCTCTGCAAACGACTCCAGGTGCCCTGACCTGTCTCTCTGCCCAGCCTGCTGCTGCTGCCTGCACCAGGACGCTCTCCCAGAGGCTGGAGCAGGCTGCAGCTGCTGCTGATATTGCATACTAACCTCAACAACACCTGTTCATACTGCTTTACTCTGAAGTAATGGATTGAGTAGGTTTTGCGAGTGCATGGATTCACAAAACCTATAGAAAACTTGCTTTACGAGATCAATTTGGAATAACCTCTCAAGTATTTGACAGGAAGTATTTTTTATCAATCCATTACAGAAAACTGTGTTATGAGGTTTTGATGTAACTGCAGCCTTATCTCCATATGTCAGGCTTTCCGTCTTAGACTGGTTGTCATGGTGTTTTTAGTGCTTCAGTCTGGTTACTAGGTAGTTAATGCTAGCTGTTTTTGTGAGCTGTAGACACAGATTTTAAATACACAGAAATAGCTGTGGTTATTTCCCTTTTTTTTTCTTTATTAGAATATTGTCTTAGTTGTTGAAATAAGATGAGTTTTTAGAGTATTGATGGACAAAGAGATGGTGTGTTGGGGACAGGGTGGAAGTAAGACTCCCTTAGGCTGAATGATGTTTCCTGAGAAAAATGCAGGTAGGCATGTTTGAATGAGGGCCGAAACATGAGAGCATCCCAGCCACCACAGCGCTCTACAATCAGCCTCTGTTATCAAGAAAGATAAATAACCCAAACAGTCTGTTGGTCAGAGAAAATGTCAAGCTGTGGATTACAAATGATTAATTGGGTTGATTTCCTATTCACTTTGCATTCTCCTCTCTCAGACACTGTTTCAGTATTCTAGTTTGGCCCAACCAATCCTAGTTGTCTGGCATTGGAAAGTGGCAGGAAGATATTCAGCTGTCATCACCAAGTTGTTGGGATTATCAGTGTGTTGCCAGCAAACGCTGCATTTATATTTTGTGCGTGAACACTGTTAGATTTAAAATAGGACTATTGTTGCTCAGGTTAGGCTATATTCTTTATGTCATCATAGCCTGTTAAGTTACACATTTTCTTCAAGTAGAGTTTATCATGTATCACTTCAGAATCCACTGACTCAGTCTATCTGGGCCTTGTACTGTTGCAGGTTACAGCCCAATAAGCAATCCAAAGTTGTAGGTGTATGACAAATAGCTATAATTGAACCCAACCGGTAAAGATGCTTTATGGAAGCTGAATTGAAACTCCCCGTTTCAGTGTATATACCTACCTAACATTCATTTGTTCTTGTAGATCACCACCAAGGAGGAGGTGAACTGCAAGCAGGGCACATCCATCAAGTCGGAGCTGGAGCCAGAAACGTTCAAACCCAACCTCAGAGAAGCCAGCGATCTCCTGGAGGCCGACCAGATAGAGAAGGTACCCACCACTTATGAATAACATATCAATAATGTAACCATATTCATCCAAATGTAATCCATTTTCACTCTGGTGCATTCAATGTGAATTATTCGGCCCCTTTTTAGATTGGTATTTTCAGTATGAACCTTTATACTATCATATGATCTGTGGGTCATGCGGTTGTATGCAAACGCAGAGGATTTGTCATTTCACTTTCAAATTTGTAAGAAAATGTAGCCCTCCTTTCCTTCAGCTCCCTTTCTAGGATTATTTGCCTACCGTGTAGTCGGGAAACAAATGTATTCACTGTAGGGCTGCAACTAACGATTATTTTGGTAGTCGACTAATCGGTCGATTATTTTTTCGATTAGTCGAGCTAATCTAACGATTATTTTAAGTTTGGAATTAATTACAGTGTCCATAAAGCTCTAGTGTGCTCTACTACGCTGTAAGCTTGGCGCTGTTTAGCAGCTCGTTGGTGGACACGCAGCCTCAACATAACTGAAATAGCGTTTGCTTAGCGAGCATTAACCATGAGACGTTCTGTTTTCCAACATGTAAGCTAACGTAAACATGACTATGGCTAACTTGCTCAAACTTACCCATGATCCAAAGTAGCAGTCCTCACGGTTCCAGGGTGCTTGCGTTTTAAATGCTCGTGCATCACTGTAGTGCTGCCGTGGAATGCCAATTCCCCTTTACAAATTCTGCATTTCACTGACTTCTTTGGCTTGTCGTCTGTGAAATACTCCCACACTTTCGAAACTCTCGGTCTCGCTTTTTTGAGCTCTTCATCACCCTCATTCTCTCTCCTTTCCGCCATCGTTCGTATTCTTTCTTCTTTGTTGTTAGTACAGAATGCAGTCATGGCAGACAATGGAGAGTATACTGCCCCCAGCACTTCCTGTAGTGCATTGCAGTTACAAATGAACATTTGCGCAGTTTTGAATTAACGTTACCGGCTCTCTGATTGTTTTTATACGACGCGTCGACACTAAAATTCCGCGTCGACGAATTTTTATGATCGACGTCGTCGATTATGTCGACTAATCGTTGCAGCCCTANTTAGTGGAGCTGCACAACTAAAAGCTTTCTTCCCTAAGACAGTCCTAGCACTTGGCACATTTAATAAAACAACATCATGAGATCTTAGGCAATAAGTACTTTCAATTCGTCGAGAGATCAGAGAGCAGATATAAAAAGGTAGTTTACCCAACATGGCTTTGTAAATGTACCAATGACTGAGCCTCCGTACAGTTAGTGAAGGCAGACCTGCCATGGCATACAGGGTACAGTGATGAGTAAGTGCTTTACAGTTAGTATCAAATCTCAGAGCACTGTGATAGGCGGCATCTAACTTTTCCAGGCAATGGGCAGGTGCATTCATATAGATCAAATCACCATAGTCCAGCACAGGTAAAAAGGTCACAGTGACTAGCCTTTTCCTGGCCTCAAGTGAGAAACAGGACTTGTTTCTAAAAAAGAAGCCTAGTCTAACCCTCAGCTTTTTAAGCAGATTAATGACCTGAAGTTTAAAAGTAAGACAATCATCAAGCCAGATACCTAGGTATTTATAACAGGTAACCACTTCTAGTACTTGTCCTTGCATAGTAACAATATCCAAAGCAGTGTCTGTAGTCTTTTTAGCTTTAGAAAAGAGCATTACCTTGGTTTTATCAACATTTAAAAGAAGCTTAGGCTCAGAGAGCTGAGTCTGAATAATGTTAAAAACAGCCTGTAATTTAACAACAGCCTCCTGAATGGAGGGACCTGCATAGTACATCACGGTATCATCCGCATAGAAATGTAAAGTAGCTTCATCCACATTTCAGAGAGGTAGTTCAAAAACCACCCCACTGCATGGCTGGATATGCCAATACTGAGTAGCCTCTGCTTCAAAATGCGATGATCAACGGTGTCAAACGCTTTGGAAAGATCAATAAATAGAGCTGCACAACTCTGCTTATTATCTAAAATACTCGTAATGTCATTCACCACTTTCATTGTGGCAGAGATGGTGCTATGTTGCTTTCTGAAACCTGACTGATGTTTAGACAGGATATCATTTTTACATAAAAACTCCTTTACTTGTTCACTCTCTAGGCGTTCGAGCACCTTCGCCAGAACTGATCATTTAGAGATTGGCCTATAGTTATTTAAAATAGTTGCCTCCCCTCCTTTTAGCAAAGGCAGGACATAAGCTGACTTCCATACTTTTGGAATTGCATTTGTGCTGAGGGAGAGGTTAAAAAGAGTAGTGAGAGGTGGAGCAATAAAAACTGCAGCTGTCTTTAAAAAGAAAGGTTCTACGTTGTTCGGACCAGCCGGTTTCTTAGGATCTAACTTGGTTAATGCTTCATGAACAACATCAATAGTAAAAGGAGAAAAACTGTAAGGGTTTTCCAGACCACATTGTTCAGAGTCACAGATTGGGGTATTCACAGGACACAAAATGATCATTAAAGCAATTTAGCATAGTAGCCCTATCCGATATAGAGCCAGATGCTGTGGTAAGGCACGGAGGTAGCTCATTACGGATCTCACCGGTGGATATCGATTTTATGGCTTTCCAAAATTTCCTAGGATTATTTTGGTTTTCTGTGGTTACTGACAAAGAACTTCGACTTAGCACTTTTGACATTTGAAGTGAAGCTATTCCTTAGCTGCCTAAAACGCAGCCATTCTACCTCTGAGCCTGATTTCCTAGTCTTTGCCCAGGCCTTGTTTCTCTCATGCAGGAGACTAGACAGTTCAGCAGAAAACCAAGGATTGTCTCGTCCCTTTACTCTAAAATTACGCAGGGGTGCACAATGATCTCCATAAAACCAAGATAAAAATAAGACCATGCAGTTTCTACATCAGCACACAGATCGAATTTTCCCCAATCAAACCCAAACAGGTCATGTACAAAACCCTGCTCCACAAAATGTTTTATGTCTCTCTTAATAATAATACGAGGTTTAACCTTTTGAACCTTAGTGTCCCTAATTGTGGCTACAGCACAGTGGTCACTCACATCATTCGCAAATACTCCCACAGATGAGTATTTATAGGGAACATTAGTTAGAATGAGATCAATTAGGGAGGATTTATCAGGGGACTTAATAGGGCGAGTCGGACTGTCAACAATCTGAGTAACATTTAAAGAGATACAAAGGTTTTTAAAATCCTCTGATACTGCAGTTAACCAGTCCCAGTTAAAATCTCCAAGTAGCACTAATTCCTTGTAGTCTAGTTGCGATAAAAGATTTGCTAGTCCTTGACAGCTGAGGGGGGTCTGTAACAGCCCACCACCATGACCTGTTGACCCTTTGCCACTTCTATATTTAAGGCTAAACATTTGAATTGCTTACTGATAGATTTGGAAACTAATGTGGTTACACTGAACTTATTTTTAACATAGATGGCAACGCCACCAACTTTATAAGGCCGGTACGATACACATTATAACCATTTAAGGCAATGTCAGAGGCCAAAATAGATTTATTTAGCCATGTTTCTGATAAGACAATGACGTCAGCGTCAGTCGAGCTCGCCCAAATGCGGACAAAATCTAGTTTACCTAACAGACTGTGCACATTCAAGTGGATGAGACCCAACCCAGACCTAGCTTTAAAATCAGCAGGAGTAGCGATCTGACTACTACTACTGGGTGGACCAGGGTTAGGTTGTACATTTCCTGAGAGTAATAACAACAAAAACAGGCATCTTTTCCTCTTAAACGACACACATACATTGTCATCTACTTTAGAATCACCGGAAAAGTCTGCGAGAGTGTGATTTGAGCTTAAGAAGCAGTCCTTAAGAACCATCATCGCGGGCAAACAAAAAAGAAAAACATATTTTGTCGAGCAGATTGTGTGTGACAAGCCAACCGGTAATTGTTTGTGTAACACATCCGAACCTTTGCAGGGGATGCCCACTGCGGGTGGCAGAACAGACCTGAATCCAGTAGACTTCTCAGAATGACTAGAGATCTTCTCATAGTCCAAAACAGTTAACAGGCACAGCAGAATCACGATATGGGCCACAGTATCCGCGATGTTCCTGGGGCAAATCAGCACAGCAGCAAAGGACAGGCGAAAGCAGCAGCGTGGAAGCAAGTAAACTTATTCCTCTATAAAATGAAATAAATGTTTTCTCTAAATAACAACCCATGCTGTGTTTTTCAATTTTTTTAAAGTAGCTATCTTTCTATGAAGGAAAATGGTGTCTCATTCTTTATTCCACCTGTTGAACTGATCCTTTGATGGAATCAGAGGTGCAACAGACCTTTCAAAGGTTAACTAGAGAGGGCAGTAAGTCTGGTTGCAGGTGACTCTTTAATACTTATTTTTTAGACAGTTGGTCAAACTACTTTGAATTTAAAGCATTTGTGAATATAAGAGACATGTTTGCCCCTGGGTAGGTTTATCTATCCCTGACGAGAAGATTTTTTTATTTAAAAACAATGAAAAAAACTAAGACGAACAAGAATAAATTGATAGAGGATTTGAGAGTTATTTGACTATTTGTCACTTATTTGTGTCCAAAGCCAATTAAATAAAGTGCTTTTGTAATGACGCAGACGACGGGACTGGGTGCATGTTTTGTTCATATGGTGAAGTGTAAAGTGAGATGGATGGCAAGAAGATAGGAGGGTGTCCGTCATTCATTTAAAGAAAACACAACCGCAGCAGTTGCTCTCAGAGAAGAGAGAAAAATGTAGAGAGATGGGAGTCATTATCTGAGGACGCCAAGAGAGGAGGAGCAGATGGAATTGGAAAAGGGATGATCCCAACTGAGAAAAAGAGCTCAGCATTGTGTTAGAAAAAAAAGAGGGAGGGAGATGGAGAAAGACAAGAGTATATGAAAGCTAGTTGTATTAATGGCAAAGTAAAAACGCCATCCACGAATAAATTACCCGGTCTCCCCTGGGATTACTAATGTAATTATTTGAATGAGGGTCCTCATTAGAATGTGCAGAGGTGTGGAAGACCTGCGGAACAAAATGGGAGACGGGTTTAGCTTCTGGAAAT